CAAATTGTAAATTACCATCCTCATCTATGTACGTTCTTTTAAGATCTTCTGTCACAGTTATCCAGACTCTTCTAATCTGGTATCTTTTTTGTAAACTATTTTTAACTTTATTATAAGCAGCTGTTTTCATTATTTCTCTATGATGACTAGCTGATTGGAACTCTTTTGGTATTGCATACATTTTATTTTCACTCGTGGTTATTGAGGTAATAGAAAAAATGTTTGACTTTCCATCGCTTCCAGGTAATAGCGTAAATTCAAAACAAAGTTTCTCCATTTTTTTTGTTTGGATTTTATAACTAAAAATGTCGTTTTATAAGACGTAAGGTATATTGTTTTTAGGGTTGACTAAAATAAACTATATTGTGTTGCTCTGTAAACAAAGTTTTATATTTCATTAATTTTAAGTTCCATTACGAAACTACACTATTACAATAATAACTAGAAACAAACCTGTAAACAAAGAAACGACATTTAAAGTTTATTCCTTAATATGTCAATTCCCTTTGTAACAATTCTGTTATTAATAAACTTAAATTATAATTTTCTACAGGCAGCTTATCATTGTCAACAGTCAATACAGTCAATATGTTATTTCACAGATTCTATCTACACTACACAAATATAGATAAAACCACAGATAAAACACACAGACAAAATATTAAAGAAATACATTTTCTTTACACCTTGATAACAATTACTTGCGAAATTAATCTTACATGCTACTGTTTGTATCATTAGTTTTTTTTTTTTATTTATTTTTTTTTTTGTTTTTGTACCATCTTTTTTTTTTTTTACCATCTTTTTTTTTTCTTTTTTTTTCTATAAGCTATTATCGTTTCTCTTTTTCCTTTTTTTTTCCCTTTTTGTTTTTTTTTTTCCTTTTCTTATTTGTTTGTTAATTCGATGCGTTTACAACTATTATCTTATCTTTTACGGTGAACTGTACTTTAACATTACAAACAGTTAACAATTAATCTAAAATAACATTATGTTAATTAGCTTATTTAAATATCAATTTCTAGTTCACTAAATATTACCTAATGTTACTAAATTTTTTTTTTTTTATAGCTGTAATTTTTTTATTTTTTTATTTTTTTTATACGATGCATTTACAACGATTATCTTATCTTTCTACATTCAAGGTTGACAATGTATGTTAATGTTTATACTAAATCTAAATTTCACACAATTAACTTATTTACATCTTAATTTCTAGTTCACTTAATACAACCTGATTTTATTTTGTCGATTTAGTTAATTATTTTACTACCATTTTCTACATTTACGATTTTTAACACGGATAGCGCAAATTCCATAAAATTCGATCGGCAGTCATTGTCTTCAATTATGCTAGACAGGGTGTTTTTGCTTATAGTCATTCCCATTTTGCACTCGCATTCGTATCTCTTTCTTCCGAATCGCGGGCAATCTATTATTAAGTGTTCGATCGATTGTTCTATCGTTTCGTCGCAAGTGCAGCATGGGGATGACGACAACTTAAAACGGTACAAGTATGCTTTGTTTCCTCCATGCCCAGTAAATAATTGACAGATTAAATTTGTTATTTTGATCGATTTAAGTATCTTATATGCTGTAATAATATTTGGGAAAAACGCCTTTGTGATATCGCTTGTCGGGGTTTCTTCATATTTCCGTTGCCATACTTGCAGAGTAGATTGTCTGGTGAGGTGCTTTGCATAAGACAATGGGAAAAGGTCATACTCGGGTCTTTGCTTGTTATTGGCTGCTGCGTGTTTTGCCAGTTCATCGGCTCTCTCATTACCGGCAATCCCGCTGTGTGCCTTAATCCAATATAGTTGGATATTGCCCTCTTGAATCTTGTTATCTTTTATTTCATTTCGGATTTCGGCCGCTATTGGGTGTTTTGAGATCGGATCGCAAATACACTCTAAGGCTGATCTCGAGTCGCTTAATATGTTAAATTTGCGATAATTTTTAGCTATTGCATATTTGATTGCTCCCAATATGGCTGCCAATTCCGCTTGAAAAACACTACAATAACTCTCTAGCCTGAACATTTTTTTGTATTTTTCTATTCCATTTGTCCATACTGTTAATGCGGCTCCTACTTTGTTGTTGATTTTGCTACCGTCAGTGTAGATTTTGGGCCAGTCGTTATCAATTGTTTCTATATCTTCTTGTGTGTTAATAAGCTGATATTTTAATAGTTGCCTCTCCGAGGGATGTGGTAGGTCAAACGGACTTATTTTTATTTCAAGTTGCCTTCCTGGTAACTGGTCTATGGGCTTACCTCGCTTTACCTCATATAAATGGGCATTTTCTCTGGCTCTTAGTGCTAGGGGAATGATTTGTGCAAGTAGTGTACTTGAAATCAGCGAATTCGTTTTGTGTCCTTTACTGATACGTATACTGAACATCCGTGTTAATCTATTTAGGATGCGTTCTATGTACCGTCTATTAGTTGTTTCTGCCCAGCAGTTAGCAGCATATAGTACAGTTGGCTCCACAACTGCCAGGTAGATAAGTCTTAATATTTCTGAATTCAGACCCCATTGTGCTCTTGCTGCTCTAGATATCGTTTTGTATAAATTTATAGCTTTACGGGTGATTTCATCGATGTGCGGTTTGAAGCTAAGATTGCGATCTATAATTAAGCCTAATACTTTGAGTTGGTTTGAGAATTTTAGTTCAACGCCTTCCATTTTGATTACGGGATGATAATACTTTAATTTCTTTGTAATGAGTATTGTCTGCGTTTTATGTGGTGCGAATTTCACTTTGTGCCTCTTACCCCATTCTGCAATTATCTTCAATGTATAACTTATGTCGCTTTCTAGTGTCTCCCCATTTTTGTTGGTCGCTATTATTAATATATCGTCTGCAAATGCTTGGACGTGAGTGCTTAGGTATTGAGTTTTTTGCAGCAAGGGATCCAGTTGGATGTTCCACATGATTGGTCCGCACGTTGATCCCTGTATACAGCCTTTGTTTGTCGATCGTCTGACTTCCTCTCCCGCATATCTTAGCCGTATCTCCCTGTCGGATAAGTAGCTGGTTATAAGCCTTAGCATTGATGGATTTACCTGTTTGGCTTGAAGTTCGTTAATTATCACTGGCCACCACGCATTGTCAAATGCGCCTTCGATGTCCAGTGATACCAATACCACTATATGTTTCTTGTCTAGCCCATTTTTAATAAGTGTGATAGCGTCGTACAGCGCATCCTCAGTTCCTCTTTGTGGTGTGAATCCATATTGTCTATTGTTCAGTTTCCTTTCATTGCCAATTTGCCATTGTATTCTATTAACGAACAGCTTTTCTAATACCTTTCCTAGCACTGGCAGAAGCCCTATAGGCCGGTAGGATTTTGGAACAGAATAGTCTTCCTTATTAGGTTTCGGTAAGATTTTTATTGTGGCTATCTTAAACTTCTTTGGGAAATATCCGAGGTGAAGGCATTGGTTAAACAATGCTAGTAGAGTGTCTGGTTTACTTTCATATGCCGCTTGGCATATATCCGAAGTTAGTCCGTCTCCTCCTGGGGCTTTCTTCGGACTCATGTCTCGGAATATACTTTCTATTTCATATGTAGTGAATGGTCTTATTTCTATATTAGAGTTTTTTAGTTTTCGTGTTAGTTCTTGAGTAATAGTCCTTAGTACGATATGATCTTCGGTGTCAGTTTCAATGTTATCTGATGGGAAAAACGTATCAGCCAGTAGTTCTGCTGATTCTCTTTCAGATAATATTTTGCCGCTTATATTTCGGAGCAATTTATCATCTTCTTTATTGGAGCATACTTTCAGAATGCGGTGAGTTCTTCGCCACACGCTTTCTTTCTCTTCCGTTGAGCATAGGTGTTTCCAGCTCTTTGTTGCTTCCTCTTCAATGCTTTGAACGTATAGTTCTTTTGCTTTTAAGTATTGGTCTATGACGTAATCTTTTCTTTTCGGATGTGCGTTCCTTATTCTACGTCTTCTTCTAATCATTTCTCCTTTTAATTCATTCAATTCTTTGGTCCACCAGACTGGTGCTTTACTAATTCTTTTTTCCCTTAGATGTGGTATTATTTTATCGCTTATAGATATTATAGCCCGCGTGTAGTTTTCAACTATATTGTCCAGTTCTTGCTCTGTGTTTATTTCTGTAATTTTTTCTCTATTTATACCTTGTTCTTCTAGTTCTTTTGAAAATTCTGTTTTGAAGTGAACCCAATTTACTTTTTTAGTATTGTATTTCCTTGTGACACTTATTACTTTGTCTAATTTTATGTTCTCGAGTTCTATCTGGTAGAGGATAGGCTTATGGTTAGAAAGCGTACAAAATGTATCGTCTACTCTCCAATTTTTAATTTGATGTAGTAGGGAAGCTGAACAAGCGGTGACGTCGATAATACTAGAACAAAGTTTGCCATTTCTGTAAGCACTAAACGTTGGAGTCGTACCTATATTTAGTATCTCTAAGTTTAGTTCAGCCAATGTCTCTGTTATACAGGTTCCTCTTTTGTCGTCTGCATTGCATCCCCACCAGATGCTATTGGCGTTTGCATCTCCTCCTATTAAGTATTCGTTGGCGTCCATTGATGTTATGACTTGCTTGATAGTTGACATTTCTTCCTCGATGTCTCCCTTTTCGTGTAAGTAGATGCTGATCAGTCCAATCTTAATATGGCCTAACTTAAGTGTTATTCCTACTATATCTTCTGTTAACAAATCTGGATTAGTAGTACATTGAATGTTTGGGTTAGTGACAATGATTGCCGATCTTACAGGTTTTGAACTGTTGCTTGTTACTTTCTGAATAATTCGATACTGAGACCCTACAGTAACATGTGCTTTTGATCCTACGTAGGGTTCTTGCATCAAAATGATTGAATATCCCTGCATCGTGGCTGCACGTAAACACTCTTGTGTGGCCGCGCGCCCGCGATCCAGGTTATACTGTACTATTTTTATTTCTGTATTTGAAGCTAGACAGTTATTAACTACTGTGGAGGATGTTGTGTCACCTAACTCTCAGCAATACGAGACAGAGGATCTAGCAATTTTATCCCATTTTATCCATTCTGGGCATTGGGAGCTATATGCTGGGTGGGCAGTATTTTCCCTTTGCGAGTTCTTGCAATTCCGGCACATAGGGACAGTGTTTTGTTTGGTGCATTCCCTAGTGTCATGTTCTTCTGAACAATATCCACAACACAGTTTGTTGTTACAGTTTATCGCCTTATGATTAAAGCTTAGACATCTGTAACACTGTGTTAATGGAGACTGGTCAATACAAGACACTATCTGGTATCCAATGCGCAATTTCTGATCCCTCAGTTTTGACCACAATTGAGGTGTTGCCTCAAGAATGACGTTTACCAGTTCTCGGATTCTGCCTTTTGTACGACGGAGGACTTTCACTGCTTTTTGTTCTTCTGTGAGGTCTGACGTGAGTTTACTATTTTGGCTTGATATAGCCTTTACTAGTTTTTCGTCAGTCAAATCAGTGGTTACACCTATGAGCCGTAGCTGTGGTTTTTTAATTGAAGGTGTTGACACAGTTAGCTTACTACAGGTGTCTCGGATCGCGGTTTTTAGTGTTTGTTGATCTTGTTGGGAGTCACAGTTGATAACAATTCTTTGGTTTTTAAGTTTGGTTATTTTATTTACGCGGACTCCCAACGCGATTGGATCTACATCCTTCCTTACCTGACTTATTATATCCTCACTCGAGAGACGCGGATCAACAGACTCGAGTATCATAGCGTATCGGGGCATACTAGCTGTCTCCGCATAAGTTCGTCTACGTGGTTGGGAGAATTGTGCTGTTTCTCTGGTATGCGTAGTAACTTCTGCGCTATTTTCATCTTTGCCCTTTAGTCTTTGTGACGGACTAGCACATTGGTGATTTCTAATATCGTTGATTTTGTCTTTGATCTCGGCTATTGCTAATTCCGTGCTTAACCCTGTATTGCCCTGAAATGCCATGTGAGTTGTATAACAATCTCTTGTTTCGATTGTCTCTTCTCGGAGGTTTTTGATCATCTCAACAACAGGATTAATTGCCCTTTGAATTTCTGTTCCAATATTTATAGTCTCCTCATGGCACTGCGGTCTGGTCTGTTGGTCTCGTATCATATCTTGCAGTTCTTGGATACGAGTTGTTACAGATTCAATACGGGTGTTGTAAGATGTCTGCATTGTATCATTGAGGAGTGATTTCTCTTTTACCTCATTTAAGGAGTCGACTAGTTTTTGAATTGCAACGTGTACAGATCGCAATTCATGTGCCACTTCGGTGATTAATTCTTTCACATGTGTTAGATCTTCTGAGCAGTTTCTGGGGTGGGGAGTTAAAGCCACAGTGCTTGATTTTGGTTGTGCCTTCGTTACTAATCCATGAACTTCAAGTTGAATTTGGCTAATAGCTTTAATGGGTTCGTCCATTTCATAGCTGAGCCAGCTACGTATTGCTTCAGCCGTCTTGGAGGTGTTTTGGACAATTTCGAAGGTTTCTGCCAATTTATTAGCGTAGGTGTCTTGTATCTCAACTAACTGTTTGTTATGTGCCCGTTCTATCCTCACAATTTCTTTGGCGGCACGACATCGTTCTTGTTCCAAAGCCAAACGGTGACGTGAGCGGGAATCGGATAAAGATAGTGCAATTTCATACAGTCCTTGGAGACACTCGTGTACCTCAGTCTTACATTCCCTTTTCATATTACCAGCCTTTTCTAAGGCTTCCTTACCAGAAAGTAGGAATTCGTTGGCCCTGTGGGTAGCGAGATCCATGGATATACCGGCTCGTTTATACGCTGGCGGTAGTATACTAGATCGCTTGCTGTTGTCGCTGAGTATACTGTCAGCATCAGACCATTCGTCATCTGTGCGTGCATGCTTGCATTTACCCAGGATTTCTAGCTCCGTCTCCATATCTTGAGCCACCGAACTGTTGTCGTCTGAATCAAAATCTGTTAGCGCTGGGTTTTCCTGTTTTTTGTGTACGCTGGCTGTCTCATAAGATTCTTCAGTATGAGTATGAGATGCGTTGGGATTGGTTGGTTCAATGACTGGCATCCTATTTGCCTCTGGAACCGTGCCTTTACTTTCATCTTCGGCTGCTTTGCTGGAAGAAGCCGCGTTTTGTAGTAAAACCTTCTTTCGTAGGGCTGTGCTAGTAACGGGGCTCACTCCTTTGCTGATCTTTGCAGCAAGCTTAGGCTTGGTAAGTGCGGTACCAGAGGCGACTGATTTTCCGGACATTTTTATTTAATTTAATTTAATTCAATTGATTATCTACTAATAAGTATCCCTTTTTTATTGACAGACTGAGCTGCAATGAATGAGTCCAAACTCGAATACTATATGTCAAATGGTTGCAGAGATATGGACAATTGAAGTTTTCAAAATGGCCGACAAGAATTTTGGTATTGCTTTATATATGTGTTAATAGAATAAAACTTGCTCTTAAGTTTAGTGAAAACCGCGACTTTCTACGACCAACGGTTCCGAAGTTATTGCAATTTAAAACTTAGCAAGATGGCGGAACAAGATGGCTGATGTCAACTAAAAATTGTTTTTCTGCCGTTCTACTAGACCTAAAATAGTCGAGTTTGGGGTCTATCTGCTCAGCTCGCAGTCAGCTATCCAGAAATGGTCACCGTTATGGTGGTCAAAAAAGTGGGCGATTTCTGTATTTCTTAATATTAAGAATGTCCCTACTATATGTATATTGAAAACCTCAGTGTAATACGACCAATGGTTGCTGAGATATCGCCAGTTGAAATTTTGGTGGCTTTTTCAATATGGCTTCCAATATACAAATTTTGTTGTAACTCAGCAACGGTAAGAGATAAACCTATCGACCTTGGTATCGTTGAAAAGCTCTCGGGGAGCTTTGTGCGATTAAATTGTTTGTTTATGTATTTTATTTATATTTATTAAAATAAATTCCAAAAATTGCTAAAAATTCAATATCTCCTGAAGTTTTTGTCCAATTTTTTTCAAAAAAAGACAAATTGAAATGATATTATGTCTGGCTTCCTTCTAAGCACTTTAAAAGCCTGTGATAATGCTGGAACAGTGACCACGTGTCACACACTTTTTCAGAAAAATCTAATATTACGAAAATTTCGTGACGAAAAATTCTGAATTTTTTATATTCAGATTTAATATTAAAAAGACCACAATTTAAGTAAATAAAAAGTATATGTCCTCGATTTGGTTCTCGAATTATAGAGCGTTAAAAATTTTGATTTTATGAAAATGTTGGTTTTTAGGCTATAAAATCTTGTAGAGTGAATCAATTTTTGTGCTCTAAACGTTTTTTGAGAGCGCGTTATAAGCACTTCTGAAATACACTCTTAGATATAGCCGCACTATTCTGGTTCTTAAAACACGTGGCCACGTGGTTTCAAGAAAAACCAATATAACTTCTGTAATTTTTATCGGAAAAATCCAGAACAAGAATCAAAATGTGCACCATGCAAAGCGTCAAATTTTAGTGTATTAAAAATCATATGTTGCAGCTTTAGATTTCGCAGCGTTTCAAGAAGAAGATAAAAATTTACCTTACTTTGTTGAAAATCGGAGGTTTTCCGCCAAAAAACCACTCAGGCGAAATCGTGTACTTGGTACCACTACCACCACCGTAAAGCTGACAACTTTACACACAATTTGATGTATGACACTTCACAATAGCACTAAATTTACTATTTTTCCGGATTTTTCGAACGCGGAGCTCACTTTAAACGATGCTTACGCTTCGGCGTATGACGCGCAACTGGGTTAGGTTAGGTTAGGTTAGGTTAGGTTAGGTTAGGTTAGGTTAGGTTAGGTTAGGTTAGGTTTTTTTTTTTTTTTTTTTATGTATGCTTTGCTGTTTCCCTCTGACATGGGGGTCAGAGACATTGTCAGCTCGACACGGACTTTGAATTCATTTTCTTTATTTATTTAGTCCTTGATATTATAAAGGGTGTAGAGGACTCCGGGTTTTCGTTCGGGAGTCCTACTACTCTTAGTCTAGTGCATGCAACAACAATTTCCAATATTTAATGCTAGGGGTAGTGACAACTTATATAATACTTATTTGACTTATACTATTTGTTAGTTATTGCTTATATTCTATTTAATTATTGCTAATACATATTTCAATTTATTTTGTAATGCTGATCTATAATATAATACAATATATTATGACAGCATCCTTACTTAAACAGTTTTATTCCTATTTATTACTCTTTTTGCAATTTTCAAACAATAACTCATAAATTTTTCTCTGTATTTACTCATCATTATGATACTTATATTCTCCTTAATTAATTTTAATTCAATTTCGTTTTCTATTTTCAGGCGCTCTGCGGCGTATGCGGGACACTCCAGCAAAATGTGTGGCACAGTTTCTTCAGCATCGGGGTCGCAAATGCACGATGGATTCTCTTTACACTTAAAGCGGTGTAAGTATTCCGAAAATCCACCATGCCCCGTCATGACTTGGGTAGTCTCGCTGCTTGCTCCAAATTTTCTTATTAATCGGTAGGCCAATTTCGCGTCTGGGAAAAACAGCTTCGTGATTTTTGCTGTTTCACCGGTCTGGTATCTTTGATTCCATTCGTCTAGCGTTGCCATACGGATGCTTCGCTTGACGAATGAAACCGGGCAAAGATCGTAATCCGGTCTCACTTTGGAATTTTTTGCGGCCTCTTTTGCTAGTCTGTCTGCTCGTTCATTCCCCTCTAAGCCCGCGTGGGCTTTAATCCAAAACAAAGTTACTACTTTGTTTTGGAGAGATATTGCTCTTAAATTATCTCTACATTCCACGGCTAACGGGTGAAGGCAGTTTTAGTTAATGATCGTTTGAAGGGCCGCCATTGAGTCACTATAAATTCCAAAGGAGGACGCTCTGTGCTTGAGGATTTGCCCAGTCGCCCTGCAAATGGCCAGGAGCTCGGCCTGGTAAACTGTGCAGTATGTTGGTAGAGCAAGTTTGAGGGCTTTATTTTCGGTCTTGTTTTTCCATTCGGAAAGGGCGGCGCCAACCTTGCCCTCAATCTTGCTCCCGTCAGTAAATATGTGGACGTTTATTTCGCTGTGTTTGTTCAGCTGCTCCTCGTTTACCAAGCTAATAATTTCTAATTCCAGGCGCTCAGCAGGGTGTGGGCCCTCAACGGCTGAAGCCATTCTCTCGACTTCTCTTCCCGCCAACACTGGCCGAGGTACCCCCTTCTTGGCTTCATATAATGAAGCCGCCTCACAAACTCGGAGGTCTAGGGGGAGTATTCCAGCCAGTACTAGCGCCGAATTCAAAGAAACCGTCCGGTAGGCTTTGCATAATTTTTGCGCTATACCGCGCTGGACTACGGCAAGTTGTTTTATAACCCCCAGCTTTTTTGCAGCCTGTGCCCAGACGCTAGCAGCGTAAAGTATAATAGGCTCTACAGTCGCGAGATATATTACTCTTATCACTTCCGGATGAAGTCCCCAACTAACCTTTGCAGCTTTGCATAGCTGTTTGTAGATGCCGATTGCCTTCCTACACACGTTCGATACATGGGTGTTAAAAGTAAGTTTATTGTCAATAGTTACACCCAGTAGCTTTATTTCTTTTGACATGCCAATGTCAATACCTCCCATGCTCAGGCGTGGTGTATCGTGTTTAAGTTTTCTGGTAATAATCATCGCATTTGTCTTATGCGGAGCAAATTTCAGCTTGTTTTCAACCCCCCACGTCCAGACATGTTCGAGAGTGGCATTGGCATGTCTCTCCACCTCGTGTGCTGTGTCACCGTCGAAGACTAAAACGACGTCGTCCGCAAATGCCTGACAATATTCTCCCCTGCATTCCAAGCTCGTCAAAAGAGGGTCTAGTAAAAGATTCCACAAGATTGGGCCTCCTATGGATCCTTGGACACAGCCTTTGTTAGTATCTTTTGTATATTCTTCTCCACCGTATCTAACTACGACTTTCCTGTTCCTGAGATAACTATCCATGACCCTCCTCAAATCCAGCGGACACTTTTCTTCAGCCAGACGGACACGTATGGCTGGCCACCAGGCGCTATCAAAGGCTCCCTCTATGTCCAATGATATTAGAGCTATGATTTTCTTTTGATCTAACTTCATGTGAATGTACTGCATTAGTACATAGAGGGAGTCCTCGGTGCTCCTCTGTGGCATGAACCCGTACTGGCGAGTACTCATCCTTGGCAAAAGGTGGAATTTGAGGCGGGCCACTAGCAGCTTCTCAAAGATCTTTCCTAATATAGGTAGCAGTCCAATGGGCCTATACGCTTTTGGTATGGTATAGTCTATTTTTCCTGGTTTTCTAAGCACTATAACTGTAGCGATTTTCCAGGTTTCTGGAAAGTGTCGTAGCATTAGGCATTTATTGAGGAAGGCCAAAAACAGCTCAGGGTTGCTTTCAATAGCGTGTAGGCATATATCGGCTGTGAAACCGTCCGCTCCTGGGGCTTTTTTAGGGTTGAAGGATTGGTACGCCTGTTTCAATTCTGTCATTGTGAACAGAGGATCACACAGGTCATCTTGCTCAGCAGAGTTCACTTTGTCAGCTTTTGTTCTTATTAGGCGATGGTAAATGGTTTCGTTGTCTGTTAGGTCTTCCGGGAAGAACGTTTCCGCCAATAACTTCACGGAACCTTTTGCGTCCAACACTACCTTATTTATTTCCAGTGGCACATCCTCCTCCCTACGTGTTGTTCTCCCAATTACCCTATAGATACCTTCCCAGACCCCTTCCCTATCCTGTTTATAGCAAAAGGCTTTCCAGCTCTCGATCTGGGCTTTAACCGCTTCTGACTCATATCTCTCTTTTTGTTCCAGGTACTCTTCTACGACCTTCTGTCTCCGGACTAGGGCAGCGCATTTGATCCTGCGTTTCTTGGTAGTGACTTCTTTTTTCATCTCGGCGAGCTTCTCGGACCACCACGGCAAGGTAAGTTCTTCTGTTGCTTTTTTAGTTGGCATTGTTTGCTTGCAAGTTTCCGTTATTGATTTCGTTAATTTATCTGTTGCTATATCTATTTGTTCTATGGTATCAATTTTTTCTATTTCTGATTTACTGAATTTATTTTCTAACAGCAATTGGTTAAGTTTCTCATGAAACTTAGGCCAATTTGCCTTCTTCGTATTATATAGTCTCGTAGTTCTGTTTACTCGTAGACCTTTTGATTTTTGTAGCCGAATATTAAAAATAATGCCATTGTGGTCCGAGCTCGTGAGACCCTCGTCCACTGTCCAGTCATCTA